GCCCGCCACCCAGTCCGCAGTCGCCCCCGCGTCTCAACCAACACCCTTCCCGCGGCCACGCAGGGCCGTGTGGTGTGTGTGACACTGTCTCTGTGAGTGAGGGGGGCGGCGTGCGCGTGGTAAATAAATGAATAAAAACGGAGACCTCGTGAGGCGTGGCGCCGCACACACACAAGAGTGGCTCGCAGCCCTCCCTCCCGTCCTCACCTCCGGTGCACCACTGCACACCTCTCAGCGCACACCTTCGGGACTCACTCCACAGCCATGCGCGAGGAGGAGGGACCTCCTGCCGCGCCTCCCTCCGGCTCTGCCGGCCGCGCGCGGCAGTTTGGGTTGCCATGCTGGCCGGGCACGCGGCCTGCCGCCGCGGCCGCGGCGTGCCGCTGCTCCTTGCGCCGCTCGACATCGGCCTTTGCCTTGGCTTTCTTCCGGAGGGCCGCCTCGTCTGCGCCTTCCTCGCCTGCGCCCTCCTCCCCGTCCTCGCCCTCCTCCTGCTGCTGCTGCTCCTCCGCCCACGGCGGCGGCGCGGAGTGCGCGGGCGCCGCGGGCGGCGCCGCGTGCCACGGCCAGTCCGGCGGGTACGCGTCCTCGTCCTTGAGCATGACGGTGAAGACCTCGCCGGGCTGCTTGCCCGGCGGAATGGTGACCTCGATCCGGTCCCCGCTGGGCGGCCGGACAAAGATGGTGTGCGCCGAGGAGGCGGTCTTCTCCGGCATCGCAAAGGTGTGAAACGACCACTCCGGCTTCTTGATGACGAGCTGGACGTGCTCCATCTGCAGCGAGAGGCGGCCGATGGACCGCTCGAGGCGCCCGAGGTCGGCGGCGAGGCCGCCACCGCGGAGATCGCGAACTTTCGTCTCGAGCTCGTTGATCTTGAGCTGCTTCCAGTCGAGCTTTTGCTGCAGGTTCCGATTCTCAAGCTGCAGAGCCTGCAGGTCGCTGGAGGCTGCCATGCTGGTCGCTAAACCACCAGTATCACGGCCAAAAAAGCTTAGGGTGAAAAAGAATTCTTCAAACGCCCGGCGTTTAACTATAAAAGAATTTTCAAACTCCGGCGTGACTCGGCGAAAGCTGCAGGCGAGGCCAGGGTCATTGGTGTCTGGGCAAGATTTGGTTTCATGTTCACAGTCTAACCGGTCCCCCACCCCTGTCGCTGAAAGGGGCTGTCGGAGGTTCATCCGCACCGTATGCTTTGGGGGTCTTGGAACGTTTGTTTACCACTTCTTCTGCCTCCTCTTT